CGAATCTGTAGATTTTTTTTTTTTTTTACTGCCGTTGCCTATGATTATCACGATGGTCCACGACTTGCACCGACTTGGCTCTTTTTTTTATCTTTTATATTCACCCTTGGTGTACTCCGTACGTGTGCTTGAATCAGGTACGCCTTACCTTGTCTTTACTAGTTGCGACTGTTTTGTTGTGCGTTTCGCCGTTTCTTTTTTTTTTTTTGTACATGCCACATTAGCGCGGAGGGCACGTCTTTTCGTTTATACTGAATATATATTGTGCAGACTGTCGTTCCTGTCTGCTCATCACTAAGGACGTGCGGGGACGCACTTGGTGCCCATTATCCCGGGAGATGACGTGGCCATTATTATTCTTGGTCCCCGCATCTCAGCTACGTCTGTAGAGGTTGACTTATAAAGAGTGTTTATATTGCTTCTGTATCTACTGTTGTATTCTTGCCTCTATCTACTATTATATTCTTGCCTTTATTTACTATTATATTCTTGCCTCCATCTACTATTATATTCTTGCCTCCATTTACTGTTATATTCTTGCCTCTATCTACTATTATCTTCTTGCCTCCATCTACTGTTATATTCTTGCCTCCATCTACTATTATATTCTTGCCTCCATTTACTGTTATATTCTTGCCTCTCCAGCAACTGTAGATGAGGTTGTAGTTTGACCGTAGGGACAAAATGCGATTTGTTCCTGCTTATACATCTACACAGGCCAAGTTATTTCAGGACTATACACAAGTCTCTTTCCGAGTTTCTAGATGCCATTGCTACATTACTTGGGGGCGTGAATCCGGTTGTAAGGGCTGTACACTCAAGTGCTACTTGCTCGGTATTTACACAGTCCTCTACAAAATGAGCGTTTGGCTTTGCGGCTTGATAAACGAGCTTGTCGTTCTAGTTCTGATAACCTGGTCTTGTGCAGGATACAAGCCGTGGACATTTGAGAAGCCAGCATGGTTTTTATTCGCAGTTTTAGAGAAACATTTAGCGGAGACATGGACGCAAGCCACTTGGACCACTTGGGAGCTAGCATGTTACCCACGCCACTTCTCAAGAGACCTTGCAAACGGCGGCAACATTCACCTTGCAACTACCAGGCACCTCGTAACCACCGTTCATTTGATCCCTACTCCGTACACGTCGACTACATCCGCCCCGGAGAATGATGCTTCAATGTTCGCAAGCCCACAACCGTCAGCGCACTCCAAAACGTTCATCTACTCACATCGTGTATTTGCACCCCCCTTGACAAGCGCCTCGTCACATCTATCGTTTTATTCGGTTGGCATTCCCCCCAACGAGATGCGACAAAAGCGCAATGATACAAAAAGAATTTCCCTACTTTCCTCCCCCACCATGACCACGACCAAAAAGAACAACACCATACGCCTGTCCTATGTGAATGCATCCCGTCCCTCCGCCCGCCCTTGACCCATGCCACCATGCCGTGTCCTGTGCCCCGCCCCATATCTAACCAGGCATATAGCGCAAAATCTACAGCCCTTGATCCATGACTTCTCGGCCGTCTCCTTCGCCTTTCATCATCATCTCGCACATGCCTCGTTGCGTTAAGAAACATGCAAGTGCGCTGGCAACCCCGAGTTCAACCCAAAAAAGAAACCTGGCATGCTGTGTAGCTACGTTCCAAGGTTTCCTATGCTCTTGATTTTGTTTTCCCACCTACTTAGTCTGGCGCTCATCGTATCCATGTGCGCGGGCTGAGATTCGCCCGTCCTGCCCTCGCCACCTAGCATCGAGGATCCCTAGAGTGGCCCTCGTGGCGCGCGGCACTGCAGCTTGAGCCCGGTGCATACCATGACCAAGCTACAGCAGCTCGCTTCTCTCTCCCCGTCTTGCGTCTCGTAGTCTTGGGACCTTCCGGAGCTTCTATGCTCCTGGCGCCGACTTTTGTGCCATGACTTCACGAGCATAAAACTCGACGAGCATGGTGGCGTAGGCTTCCAAATCTTCAACAGGGACAGCGAGCCGAAAGTCGTTGAGGACGAGGAACTGGATTTCCAGATGGTTCAGCTCGGCAAGCGGGAGGCCTCCGACCTGGGAGAATAGTGTCAGTAAAATGTCCATGTTCTTTGGGGGACAAGGCGCCCTATGCAGAGAGACCAATGTACCTTGGCGTATCGAGAGTTGGTGTAAAAGACGTCAGAAAAGAACTTGCTGGCGCAAGTCACCCCGGAAATAATCAATCTGTGGATATTAAAACTGTCCACTACAAAGTATGTTGCCGGGCTAACTGCGACTCGGTCATCGGATTCTGTGGCAGCCTGCCCGGATTCGTTGCGTCCACCTGCCGCTGTAGGAGAGTCTACCATTTCGTCATCGTTGTCGTCGTCGTCTGCCAAGTCTGAATCGCTCTCGTCCGACTCGTGGGCATCTTCGTGCATGGTGGTGTCTCCCCGCGATGCCCCCGACGATGCAGGGTGCGAGTGCGAAGCAGCCCGGCTTTGGGATTGCTCGCTATGCATGACAATTTCGTTGACTCGCTCCGTCATGCGGTCAAAGTAGACTAGCAGGCTGAGAAACACTTCGTAGGTTGTGGGACAGTACTTGTGTATGCGCGAGAGGTAGCTCAAGATGGTAATTGCGGGCACGTTTTTGCCGTGGAAAGCCAGGACGGAATGGCTCAGAGGGCTCATGTGAGACCCAGAGTCGTTGGACTGACTGGCTTGCTGCTGATGGGCCACGTTTCGCTGCATGGCATCGTGCTGCAAGTCGTTGGTAGTGGTGATCTTGGTGAGCAGGGCAGCCACCATTTCGATTATGTCGGCAATGGGCATTCCGCTGATTTCATACTTGATCTGGACGTTTGGGTCCAAGGATGCGCAGCTGCTCCCCCCAAGCATCTTGGCGTCTGCGAGGCTTTGCATGTGCGCCAAATCCCGGAGGTGGATAACCGTTTGCCGGCTCTCCCGGGAGGTCTGTTGGGTAGAGCTCGGCTCGACCTGGCTGAACGACGAGGATGCCAAGGACGAGTCGGGTATGTGGAAGCTTTGGCTGGGCGGTGGTGACGGTTGCTGGTGCCGTCCAACCGAGGTCGTGAGGCCCGGGGCATTGTGCAGAGATTGGTGCGCTGCAGAGACGATGTCTCCGGTATGTGATGCCATTGAGGCTTCCTTTGCATCGTCGACCGGCGTGGCACCACTGGCGACGGGGGGTGACGAGGACGGCGGCGGAGAGGGGAACCTGCAAGAGGCGCCGCCTGCCGGCACTGTGCCGTCGGCTGCGGCTGCGGCAGACTTTCGCGCCCTCTGCTGCGTCGTGGGGGACCGCGTCGCAGCGCCGGGCGAGTTGCGTCTGTCGGTAGCCGTGTGCTCAATGTCGTCACGTCGCTGGGACCGTGGTGTCGAGACGGAAGCGCGTGGTCGGCTCGAGCGAGGAGCGGCGGGGCAGCGAGTCTTGAGCCTGCGATCGGGAGTGGGAGCGTTGGCGCTGAGGTGGGGATTGATGTTGTTGGCGTTGGCTGTGCCGCGAAGACGGGTTGACAATCATGTCATGAAAGCGAGACAGATCAGGTACCAAGTCACCGATTAGAGCGGCCATTGCATCATAACGACAGCTGAGGCGATGGCGAGGGGATGCCGGGCTGGGCGGCGCGAGAGGGCGAGCGTCCGAGAGCGTGTGTGTGCGTGCGGCGGCACGAATAATTATTACGACGTAGGCGTTGGGCAATGGATGGGCTGCAAGGAGGAGAACAATGCATCAGCCTAAGAATGCATCGAGCAAGGGCAATAAAACACGCAAGGGCAAAAGAAAAGTCATAAACGGTCGTCAAGTGCAGCGAGCGAAGGTATGGGCAAAAGGCCGTGGCGAAGACGAAGACGGAAGACGAGATGGATCAGGGTCGTAATAGGATGACGCCAAAACAAGAGGAGAAATTCCATCTGGCACCAGGCGAGACGACACAAGCCGGCACGTTGCTTGGCTGCTTTGTTCCAGGCCCAGGGATGTGGGTGAGCGCCGCCACGAGCCGCTGGAGCAGCCGCTGGAGCACGTCAGGTCGTCGTCTTGTCATCTGGTGGCCGTGGCGAATGACGCGGGCGTAAGGAGACGCGGCGCTGGGGGACGGGCTAATGGCACCTGGGTGAACTAAACCCCAACTCCGGGACTCGCTCGCCCGCGACTCGCAACTTCAACATGTACCGGCGCTTGACCACTTGATCATCCAGCCCCGTCCAACACCCACGTATAAAGTCGCATCAACCGGCCGTGCATCGGCATGGCAGCGAGCCCTTGGTTTCCGTTGCACGTCGGCCCAGCGCAGCCTTGCACGGAGCACTCAACCCCATGAGGCCGCCTCTCGCAGCGACGTCACACCTGCAGCGTCCATGACGAGAGAACAAGGTATAAAAAAGGCGCCTCTCCAGCTAAGAAACGACACGCCCGCAAAACAAGTAAAGGGCAGTTTGAACACGACTCTCTTGGTAGTAGTAAACAGCCGCAACTTTGCCGCTACCAACTCCAAGTCGATAAGCGAGAAGCGTTCCATCAATGAATGCATCAAGGAAAAAGAGTCAACCAACTAGCAGAAAATAAACAAACTCAAACACCAAATATGAAACTCACCTCTGCAACAAGTGTTTGCATCCGTAGCAAAACCGCAAGTCGCCGAATTCCTTCGACAGGGTATATTCGAGGTCAACTGAATTTCTCCGAAGAAAAAGGGCGGATAAACGTCCGTAGCCGACCCAGAGTCGAAAAAGACAACCCCACGCTCGTTAACCTTGGTGCCGGGTGGAGGCGGGCGGGAAAAAAAAATCAAATAATCGCTCGGTGAATCAAATAAAACAAGTGTCTATTTAAGCCGGGGGCGCGGTATAGCGAAATAAACAAGACCAAGTGTCGTCGCGAGAGGAGAGATAATGCCTGGTGCTCCACGAGACGGCCCCAAATGACGCAGTTAAGTGGCGAAAAGGGTCACCGCGAGTCGTTGCCACAGTAGGGAAGGAGCGAGGGATCCTCTTGCTCAAAGCCCAACCACGCGCCGCTATGATACAAAGTGTGTTCTTATCGAGCTATAAGCAACACCGTACCTGGGTGAAAAGAAAAACAAAGAATAGAAAAGTTTAAAAGAAGAGAAGAAGAAAAGTATGTTCAATGTAGGAGGGCTGCGGTGCAAAGACAGATGCAGGTACTCGGTAGGTGGTGATAAGGTTTTTAGGCTTGTTGGCGAGCGAGGACGGAAACGGGGAGTCTTGTTCACCCCCCTTGGCGGCGTTGTTGCGCAACGCACAATCAGACCTCACAACAAAGTCACGACGGACACTATATTGAATAGGAGAAATGAGGAATGGCAAAGGGCAGGGGAAAAAGAGACCGGCGGGCAGAGGACGGCGGGAATAAAGGGCCGTGAGTGCAACAAGACGGCCAAAATCTGCCAGACGAGTTCTGGTTGTGAACGGGGTGCGCATCCGGCCGTCGTTGATTCGTCGACGGCGTGGCCGGCAAGGGCAGGGACGAGTAGCAGGTACACGGCGGTTGGGTGAGTGCCGCACCACCTGGGCAAGTAGCACAATCGCAGCCAAGGCTTGCCGCACGTGGGGTGGCCTACCCGTCGCCCGTGGCGCGCCGAGGCAAGGAACGCTCGACGCAAGTTCGGATGTCAAGTTTCCTCTGAGTCGGCTGCAATCATCCGCCGGCTTTCTCCTTGTCCTTTTGTTTCAGATTGTTCGAGAAACGCAATGAACGCTCCTGTGGTACGGGGACACAAGGGCTTCCACTCCATGTCCATGCCTCATCCAGCCGTTTCGGTATATAATATTGACCGCGTCATTGTTGTGGCATGTCGGTCTGTCTTTTCGTTTCCAACCACATAGTATTCGAAAAAAAAAAAAAGCCGTCTGTCCAGATTGCCCGCCTCCACTCCCGTCAAAGATTTGCGTCAGACTCCTCCTTTCCTCCACCTTCTCCTCTCCAAGTACCCCATTTTCCTTTGTCCTTGGCTCCGTAGCCGCGACGCCGTCCATCTTCAGCCCTGCTGAGCTACCCGCCATGGCAGTTCAGCTCAATTTGCCCCAGTTTGAAATCAAAGAAGCCCCCTTGACAGCTAGGGCAACTAAAGTTGTGTCGGTCAACAGTACAATGCCAGCTTTCCACGTTGCCTTCCATGGCAGTAATCGTTGCTAGTCGATAGCCCCCCTTGCATTCCCCGGACCAGGACAAGTGGCCATCTCAACCCACCTCCTCGAACCCGTGCGCTCGATTCTCTTCAACCCACCTTGCCCTGGATGGAATGTGTGTGTTTTACATAAATTAGTGTACCATGTGGAATGCATGCGGATGCGACCCAGCCCCGTGGTCACAGCCAGCCGACCACGTGTTACCACCAATCCGTTTCCTTTCCACGGGGTCCAAAGGATTGATAATAATTTAACGGTATTTCTGTCAGTCTGGTGGCTCACCGCCTGTCCGTGTGTACAAGTTCGCATGCACATCAATGACTCTCATTGCTCACATGTAGAGATGATCCTTTTCTCCTCGATGAGTACAGTGAGTGTATGCCAGTGTGATTTTTTCCTTTTTTTTTCCACTTTTACTTTTCTTTTTAGCTTTTATTTATTTGCTTCTTCCAAAATTCGAAATCCCGTTACCTCAAGATATACGTTTCCACCTCGTATCTCGAATATTCACACCCCTTCTGACACGATCAACCAACTCACTCTTCCCATCTTCACCGCTTTTCGGCATCTCAGTCCTAGGCCTAGTTGATCTTGTCCGAGCTGCATGTTGTTGTTCCCGTCCCTGCCGACCCACGGCCCGTTCCCGTACCTCCAAATCATACAAGCCCTGCCTCAAGTACATGAGCTCCTTTGTTTTCGATACCGTGCACAAGCACATTTCGCATTTGATCCCGTATTCGTTATTCTACTTATTATACAGAAGCGCCAAATCTGTCTATCGTAGGCTCAAATCACCATCTTATGAGCTTGCTTCAAAGCTTAAAGTCCTTGCCCTCCGGAATGGCGTCTACCGGATATCAGTCCCCCCCCCCCCCCCAACCCCTCCTTTTCTTTTTCCCTCCCCCCCCTCCCCTTCTC